GGGGGAGGGGAAGAGGAAAGGGGGAGGGGAAGAGGAAAGGGGAAGGGGAAGAGGAAAGGGGGAGGGGAAGGGAAGAGGAAGAATCATCAAATTTCCCCGAGTCAAATCACAATTTCAGAATCATGTTCCTGGAAAAGACTGGTTGATAACATATACTTGGTGTGGAGATAATTTCTCTGAGGCTTACTAGGTAGCACAAATCCCACCAATAGTATCACAGGAAAGAGAGAGAGAAACAGCCTTGCAGTGGAATGCAAATGTCCAGAGAAGACAGATATGCGTGTTCATTGATGTGTCCCCAGAGCAGTGAATAATACTGGCACATGTGCAGTGCTTGGTAAACACCTGTGAAATGAATGAGCGAAGTTCAAGGAAATGGTGCTGAAACATTAGCTTCTGTTCTAGTTGGAATTCCAGGGAGTCTCGTGGATTCTGAGGTTGGAAGAAGTTGGGCACGTGTGTCCCACTATTTGCATCTGAGTTTCCGTTTCTGATAATCCGGACAACTCAAAAAACAACAGGGCTGACAAGGTAGCTCAGTAGTTAGAGGTGCTTTCTGCAAATCCTGAGTTCCCTTTCCAGGACTTCTGGGAGAAATGACCCTCGAAAGTGAGCTCCACACAATTCTGTCTGACACACACACACACACACACACACACACACATACACACACACACATGCACACACACACATATACACACACACACATGCACACACACACACTCACACACACACCACACACACATGCACACACACACACACATGCACACACACACACTCACACACACACTCACACACACACCACACACACACGCACACACACACACACACACCACACACACACACATGCACACACACACACACACAGAGACACACACACAGACACACACACACTCACACTACTACTACCACCACCTCCAACAAAGAACAGCATATTAAAAGAGAAAAAAAAATTTTTTTTTTTTGGGGGGGTTTTCGAGACAGGGTTTCTCTGTGTAGCTTTGCGCCTTTCCTGGAACTCGCTTTGGAGACCAGGCTGGCCTTGAACTCACAGAGATCCACCTGCCTCTGCCACCCGAGTGCTGGGATTAAAGGCGTGCGCCACCACCGCCCGGCAAGAAATTTTTATTACCTGCGGCTGCTGTGGATGGAGTCATTGGCTGGAGTTAGCATAAACTGTTCTAGACCTATGATGGCCAGTGATTTTTAGCATTAATGAGCAGGAGCGAGTTATATCATGTGTCAATGTGTAGGCCTGGCTTAGTTGTAATGTCCTTGCCATTGGATTGAAAAAAAAAAAAAAAATCCTCCTTAGCTGGGCAGTGGTGGCACATGCCTTTAATTCCAGCACTTGGCAGGCAGAGGCAAGGAGATCTCTGAAGCCAGCCTGGTCTATAGAGTGAGTTACAGGACAGCTAGTCTATACCTACACAAAGAAACCCTGCCTCAAAACAAACAAAAACAAACAAACAAACAAAAAGAAAGAAAGAAAAAGAAAAGAAGAAATGCTCCCTGACTCTGCAATCTACTCCCAAGACATCACCACAGGCCCCTTGAGATCTTATGTATAGTCACAAATTCAGTGAATTCCCAATTGTTAGATACGGGAGTTACAAATTTCTTCTCACTGAAAATTATGTAGTGTTGAGAGGCTGCATTTTGGTTTCTGATGGTGTCTCGTCTGATTATACTATCCAGTTTTAAGCGTGTACGTCCTTATCGGGCCCTCACGCTGCAGTGTTTGGTTACTCTCACATGGAGTCTCAGGTCCAGGTGACACACTGCCTGTGACCCTGAATCTTCCTTAGCAAGGTGGCTTCATCTGTGCTGACAGAGGCACTATTTTTAGGACTGTATTGCTATGGTTACTGTGAACCATGGAGTTGGCCTTCAGGATTACATCCCTGAACAGTTAGTGTTTGCCATGGAAATTTTGAAATAAGATAATTTGAAATTTAAATATATATATGTATATATTTAGTACAATAACTGTAATCATATAAAACATTTGATCAAGTGTGTGATTCAATTAGATAAATAATTAAAAGTTTTTTTAACCTCCTTGTTACTCTAAAAAAAAAAGATGCCTGAATAATATATTTTAAAAAAGGAAATTTAAAAAGATGTTTGATTGATTGATTATCAAATCAGCAAAAAGCATCAGCTGCTTTTATTTCCAAATTCAGCTGCAACTGAGTAATTAAATACAAAGTCATGTAGACAGTGGTGGCATCTGACTTTAATCCCAGCACTGGGGAAGCAGAGGTAGGCAGATCTCTGTGAGTTCGAGGCCAGCTTGGTCTATAGAGCAAGTTCTAGGACAGCCAGGGCGGTTATACAGAGAAACCCTGTCTCAAAAAACAAAAATAAATAAAAAGTCACAACACATTTATAGTGAATATTAAACTCTTTCTTTATTAACTTATGTGAGTTAGACTGCTTATATAACTTATAAAGGTCTAAACACAGAGTATTTTCTTTTAGACATAATTTTTTAAAGGTTTATTTATTTATTATGTATACAGAAGAGGGTGCCAGATTTTATTACAGATGGTTATGAGCCACCATGTGGGTGCTGGGAATTGAACTCAGGACCTCTGGAAGAGCAGTCGGTGCTCTTAACCTCTGAGCCATCTCTCCAGCCCCTCTTTTAAACATAATTTGTCTTGAGGAGCTTGGTTTGGTCTATGACTAAGAATTATTCCTTCAGGTTTTTCTTTTCTTTTCTTTTCTTTTTTGAGACAGGATTTCTCTGTATAACAGCCCTGGCTGTCCTGGAACTCGCTCTGTAGACCAGGCTGGCCTCTACCTCCCAAGTGCTGGGATTAAAGGTGTGTTCCACCACTGCCTGGCTTTCCTTCAGTTTTAAAATAAAGCATGACAATATATGACACAAGACTCGATTTATATCTTAAGTATACATAATGTTCTCATTTTGCAATGTGCACTCCCAGAAACAGAAGTCTTTAGTAACAGCTATAATTCTTTCCAGTTAGTTTTGTAACTTGTGGGAAATTTCAAAAGAATTACTTCATTCTGTTGCATGTGATATTAAAGAGAAACACACACAGGTCTTGAAATACGGGATCTTTCTTTCTCTTTCTCTCTCTCTCTCTCTCTCTCTCTCTCTCTCTCTCTCTCTCTCTCTCTCTCTCTCTCTCTCTCTCTCTCCCTCCCTCCCTCCCTCCCTCCCTTCCTTCCTTCCTTCCTTTCCTAGTAAGGCCCTGTTTAACATTGCTCATACATAGCAAGTTCATTCTAATAGAGTCTAAAGCATTAACAATCTTTAAATGAGTTCATATTTTATAAGTTAATGTTATCATGAATGTACATGAAAACGCATAAATGTAGAAATGGAAGGTAAGATAGAGATGAAGTGTGGTTTTTCTAATCATGCTGATTCTGTGCTGCCGTTGGCTAAGTTACCAAATCAGTATACTCCTGGGGCAAGGTTCCCTGTACTGACTGCTGGTCCAAGTCCATGTTTCTGTCTTCTAGATACTTTGAAGGGGAGGAAGTGGTTTTCCCGTGATGAGACCTCACACACAACACTGCTGACAGATAGCTGTGGTATTTTGTCATTTGCTTTTTCTTGTGTTATTG